AGTTTTTCCACGATATAGATATATGAGTTGTCTTGACTCTTGACTAGAAAAATTATGCATAAAATAGATTCTCACCATTTCATGATTTCTTTTTCTCATTGGCCATATTAATAAGTCCTGTAAAAAGACAAGAAATCACTCCAATTAATAGAACCTCCACATTATCAATGAAATGTTTAAAATTAATATCAATAAATTATTTTTATTCCATTGACATATCATTGTGACATTTTCTTTATGCATGAGTATATGAATTGATATGAGTTACACTATAGGAAGATAACCACCATTTATAATTTTTCAAAAGTGTAATTTTTGAGAATAAAAAGTTTAGGTAAATTGGGTCCCGATGGCTCACCAGGACCATAATATATCTCCGGTCTCAAATAGTGCTTATAGAGGTATTTAAGAAATATAATTTAACAATCACTTAGCAATTGAGTGGATGCATTTTTTTTCAGTTAAATCTTTCTAATTAAAACAAAATAGATTGGAGGTCGGTCATGATTATATTTAAAAGAGTTAAATATAATAACAAATAGGACTTATAATATAATGTGGATCTCAACTTTGATTGAATTTAAAAGTAAGTATAACGGTGCTTACATATTGATATCAATGCCAAGTCCTAGGAATTGAAATAATAATAATAAAGAAGTTACAATATAAGAGAGTTGTTAACTTGGTGTAGAACTCTAAATCCATATCTCGTTAAATAACGTTCTCACACGGTATTTGATTGTTGATAATATTGTTAACCAATAATTCTAGCATTTCAACAAGCATTTTTTGCCTCCCTTAGTTAATGTGTTTTATTTCAGAATAATAATGATAATGAATTTCATTTCTGTGTCTTTACATTTTTTTTCTAAGTTTTATATTATTTTAAATGATTTATGAATTACCAGAAAATTTTTGGGAAAATGAGAGAAAATTCCCATTAGAATATGCAAATGACAATGAGATCCTACAAAATGCTATAATTCTTCTCAAGTTCATCAGGACCTCTTTTACATTAATGATTTTTGGTAAAATGACTAAAGTACCCTAGTTTTAAAAAAGTAAATATGAGTAACTATTTTAGTTTAAACAATAACTATTTTTCTTCTAGCAACAACTAGAATGAAACAGGCAACTACAACATCCCTTGTACAATTTTTTGATTCACTAAAGTCTAAATTATCACTAGTGCAAAAAGAGTTTTTCACCACAGTTAAAAAGCATCTTTTGCGACAGAAAATAGTGTGGTAGAAACAAGTGTGGTAGTAAATGCTATTTTGCGCCACAGTTCATGAAACTGTGGCAAAAAATGTCATTTACTACCACAGGTCCAAGATAGACCTGTGGCTGTAAATGGTGAAAAAGAAGCATTTACAGCCATAGGTCCATTGCAAACCTGTGGCTATAAATGGTTGGCATCACTATTTATAGCCACAGTTATTGTGGTCGTAAATGGCATTTTTTGCCACAGTTATATATGGTCGTAAATTGTTTTTTTTAATAAAAAGAACCATTTGTAACTATATACATCCCTTACTAATTACAAAACATGCATAAATACATAACATCAGCTCTAGAGACCAGTACGAACATATCAACTAAATATATGCATTTCCAATACAAATATGTATAAACTATTTGCTCTAGTCTTGTTAATTCTAGGAAGAAATTAGACCAAATGTTACATATATATCTCATCTCTTACTTAAAATATAGCTCTAAACTTTTGAAATGTTGCAAATTCAATAAAATTCAAGTATAACACAAGCTTCAAAATATAAAGCATTAAAAATATATTATTACCTTATCAAATGAGTTGATAATGTCATGTTTGAAATTTTTATATTCTTATTAATGGAAAATTTAGAAATACTATTTAATTAATGATATTAGTCAAATATGAGAAATGATTTTTAGAAGATATTGAGAGTGATTATTTGATGGAAAGAAATATTTAAAAGAATTATATTAATATTATTGATTAGGAAATACCCAAAAGAATTAATTATAAGATCTAAATATTAGAGCCTTTTAAGACCTTCATTCTTCTTATCAGTGCCAATACTCCATAATAATTAATTGCCAAAGCCCATTATGAGCCCATGTGACGGAATTTATTTTATTTTTCTCTAGTAGATTAGTGTCTTGAATCAAAAGAATTATTCATGGGTCACGTGGAAGCATTAGCTCTAAACATGTAACAGATGAAAGTTAAAAAGCAAACTTTCATTCTTTTCCTTCTTCATTTTTGGATACAACAACGTGAGTGGGAGAGAGAAAGTGAGTTTAGCTTCCGTGGAGTTTCAGAGAGTTTAGAGAGAATGACTATAACTCAGCTAAATACTATCATTTTTAGCTCAAAATCCACATGCAAAACTAGAATCTAGACCTACTCAACTCAAGCTTTCATTTAAACCTAGTAGTTCATGGAGATTTTCAAAATTTAGAAGGAGCTTAGGGAGATAAAGTCTATAAACTCAAAGCTATGGAATGCTTGGAGTAAGGTAAGCATAAATTTATGAATTTTTAGATGTATTGATGAGTTTCATAAATTAAAATATGGGATTGAAAAGTACTTGTCAAATGTTTAGTTTAGCTTTTTTTTTAACAGCTTACTTATGGGTATTATGAGATAAGAAAAATGATTGGAAGGTATTATGTATATATATCCACTTAAGATAGGATTAAGAAAATTAAAAATAAGTTTTGCCCTGTTATTTCAATTATTTTTGTTGAACAAGAGAATAACGATTTATTGAAGATTTGAGAAAAGAAAGAAAATATTTTTTTCTATGGGTGGAGAGTTCCATCTATGGCTAATATAGAAAGTTAAAGCGTGATTTATTTCTTGATTTTGGGTCCATATTTTCCCTGACTAGAAATTTGGTCCTCTTCTTGTGAACACTTCTATTAATAATAATTTCATAGCTATATACATCCACTTTCGTGGAAACAACTCCAGCATATGCATATTCTGTAATAGAATTGGATTCAAGCAACCAAAAAATCAATTTCTCACTCGTAATCAAAATTTATGAACTAGAATAAATTTAAAACACACATTTTTGTCAATTAAGAAAAATGGTTGAAAAACTAATAATTTATATTGTTGTTTCTTGTGGTAATTATTACAATTTTTTTTCTATAGATCATTGCAACAAGGCAATCCTTGAAAGACTTGTATTTAGATCCAACAGAAAATTATAGAAAACTTCCACGAATGCAATAGGATTTTTTTATATAGATATATATGTGCATGCTAGAGTAAAATACATGTCGTATTGATTTTCATCCCCTCTCTCTCTCTCATATCAAATACATACACATAAAAATAATTAAGGAAGCCAAGCTCAATGAACGCAAAATGCATAAAATAAGAAATCTCTTTGGTTATCTATTTTATATGGGAACCTGCCTCAAATAAGAAATTAGGATACACACACACACACACACACACAAATCTACGTGAGAGTACTTTTCTCTATAGAAAAATTTGGAACAAATGGTTTCAAATAATTTATTTGATAGGTGACTTTAATGTCATCTGAATCAACAATTAAACTTCTTGTATATGGAGAGACTAAATCAAGAAGATCTAATGCTTTGGGGAACAAATGTAGCATTGCTCATAGAAAGTAAGGAATATCTTTTATATTAATCTTCTATGTTATTTCTAATTTAGATAATAAGTGATAGAGCATGAAAGATTTCATATGTATCATTTCATAGAGTAGTAATATGAGCCACCGTGAGGTTTGCAGGATGACCCCATAGCAAGTTGCAGGTTTTTCAAGTTAGGCTAGCATAACCTGCATCCTTGGTGGGTTGTATTTCTTCCTGAGTTGGTGGGTCAACCCACGACCCACCAATAAAATATATTTTTAATAATGTTTTCCAATTTTAACTATTACAAATTTACCTTTTTTCTTTTTTTTTGCCGTTAAAAAAATCATATCTTCCCCCAAAAACAAATTATCCAAATAACAATAAAACTATTTCTAAGTCAATAAAAAACACAATACAAATTTAAATTATATGTGAATCTGTCTAAGAGCCAAGATAGAGGCATATATAAAACTAAAACTGACGGTGCTTTCCATTCCGGTGGTTTTTCTTTCTTTATTTTCTTTTCTTTTTTTTTTAAATCATTAGTGCCCGCAGACACTACGCGCACATAAGGAGGTCTGAAATATTTGGCCCCCCCAAAAAAAAAAAAAACCAAAGTCTGAAATAAATGGACACTATTTTGTATTAAAAAAAAGGATGTCCATGCATTGGACACATAGTTACCACAGTAATTTTAACAGTGATTTAGGTATGTCACATTCATTTTCAATTGCTTTCTCTCTCCCTTTATTTTTGGCCTTTGTTTATTCACCTTCATATTTTTTGGATTAATTTTCCAATACTTCTTGCTTTAATTTTTTTTTCAATTTAATCATGCCATATTTGCAAATTATTTCATAATTATATTAAAATTTCAACAATAAAAAATCAAAAACCTTTTTAACAACAATCATACCCAACATGTATTATATGGGATTAAATTCTATTTTAGTAAATAATTCATTAACAATTTAAGGAGTGGAATTTTCTGTCTATTTTTTTTTTAAGTTGGTTGGCAGACCCATATTACCAGCATTTAATAAGGTGACTCCAATGTAATCTAAAAGAAACTAAGAAAGGAAAGCATTCTCAAAATACAAATGCAAAAAGGACATGGTGAATCTAAGTTTAGAATAATTACCAGGTGCAATATATCCAATTATAGGTATCGTCTCTGTATGTATTTTAGACTGCCCTTCATCTAAAAGTTTGGAAATCCCAAAGTCACTCACATGAGCAACCATATCACCATCCAACAAATTGTTACTTGGCTTCATATCACAATGAACTACTAGTGCTGACAAGCTATGATGGAGATATTCTAAAGTAAATGCTGCATTTATCATTATATTCAGCCCTTGTAGAAAATTCCAACAATAGTTATGAGAATACAATCATTTTTCAAGACTCCCTTTAGGCATGAACTCCATTATCAGGCACTTGAAATCAACATTGGAACAACTACTTATGATCTTCACCAAATTATAATGGCACACATTGCGCATTGTGTTGCATTCCACTTCAAAGCTCCTTGACATTTTCTCAGAATCAAAATTAAATACTTTAATTGCAACCATCATCCCATTCAAAAGCTTTCCTTTGAACACATCACCATAACTCCCACTTCCAATAAAGTTACTCTCATCAAATCCATTAGTTGCTTCTAGAATTTCAAAATAAGAAATCCTTCTTTGTCCTCCTAAAATTGGTGAGTCCCTTTCGAAAGAATCCCATGAATTTGGTTGTCTTTGTTTAAAAGAGGATGCCTAAAACAGTCAAAATTGTTGACACGAATATGGGTAATTTGCACTTCAATAAAAGTGATTTATTGAATGACCTTTTTCCTTTTCTACAAAGAGGTACTTTTAGTTCTTGTTTACCACAAAGAGCTTCATCAATCATAAAAGATTCAGCAGTCAAATTTTTGAAAACACCTCCACTGGGAATCTCTCCTTGTAGTTTGTTAAATGAGAGATTGATAAACTTTAGATAAACAAGTGACTCCAAATTTTTGGGAATCTCACCAGACAAATTATTATGGGAAAGGTCCAAATTCATTAAACTTGGAATATTTCCGAGTAATTTGGGAATATTTCCTCGCAAATTGTTATATGCTAAGGAGAGATTTTGCAAAGTTTGCAAGCTATCCATGGTTGAGGGAATGATTCCTAAAATATGATTTCTTGACAAATCCAATGACACAAGAGCTTTTAAGTTGCCGATATTGAGTGATAGATTTCCAACTAAACTATTTGAAGACAAGTTTATGATCAATATGTCCTTCAAATTCCAAAAAGAAAAGGGAATTTCTGAAGTTAACTTGTTATTGTCCAGGTGAAGTTCTCGTAAGGAGGTAACATTTCCCATGCAATGCGGCATTGATCCAGAAAACTTGTTCTCACTTAGATATAAATAAGCAAGTCTTGGCATTCCACATAGCTCTTCAATGATTGCACCATGTAGCTTATTACCTTCAAGACTCAAATACTGAAGATCTTGTATGCTACTAATTGTTGTTGGAATCCTTCCAATCAAACTGTTTTCTTCTATAGAGAGTTTATACAAATTAGTGAGGTTCCCATAATTTGATGGAATATTACCTGATAAAATTTTTTTAATGAGATCATAACTTAACTTTTCAAAGTCGATATGTTAAAAAACATTTTGGAAGTATAGATCTATACTAAATTTGTCCTGTGACAAATATAACATGTCAAGCTTACAAAGATTTCTTATTCCCACATATGTACTAAATCTAGGAGCAAAATAGGAAATGCAGTTTCAGTAAAGTTATTTGAAGTTAATACTAAAAAATAATGAAATAGAAAAGTTTGTGTAACTGTCTTAATATAGCAAAGATGTTTGGTTTAATGTTGAGGGGTCACAGATGTCATCCACCTAGATTTTAGCTTTCGGTCCATATATATATATATTGACAGTGAAGGATGGGCACATCATGTATAAGTGAAAAACGAACTTTGTTTAATTGAAAATAAAAGATGGAGAATTTCTTTTTGTCCTATAGTTTTGACCAATTCCAAGCATAAATTATAATTAAAATATCATTTCTAAGAAACAAAAGTTAGAGATTTGATAGAGTTAATAATATATCCTTGAAAAGTAATTGTAATCTAAATATTAAAATCGAAGCATAGTGAAGTTTCTATTGCCTCTTAATTTGCAGTAAGAAAGCTCGTTAAGATTTAACCACGACAATCAGGGAAGCAGGATTAATTAGCGATTATAATTTATTGTAAGGATACCTTTTAAGTTATTGTAACCAAGAGTTAACATTTGAAGCATGGTTAAGTTTCCAATATCTCCTGGTAGATCTCCTGCAACAACAGAAAATCATAATGCTAAGAGGTTTATAAAGTTAAAGATTATATATTGAAAGAAAAATGAATAGCAAGTTTGTGGATACAATTATATGTTGTTTGAACTTTATTTTGTAAATTCAAACGTTAATGACGTATAGTAAAAGTGAGGGTACATAAACACCGCAAGGTGGCAGATTTTATGATCCTGAAATTTCATGAAATGGATAAAACGAGATGGCATACGGAACTTTGTAGAGATGATTGACTATAAGCATATATATATATATATATATATATCCAAAAATTGTCAAAATCAAAATATATTATCTTTGATAATATAGTAGTTACTGTCCATAAATTCAGCAGTTTAAATTAGATAAGAAAGGGGTATTTCAAAATCATATTTGTTCTGTAGAAGAAAAATGGGTAACATGTGGCGCTCATATGGCTCCACAATCTGGCTTGTGTAAGGCTCCTCCTATGCAACTAGTCAACGCTACATGACAATGTGGAGAAAGTAAGGAAAATAATATCTATCAAAGAGTTTGATTTTCCATTTTACTATAAAGTAAATTGAAAATAAAAAATTGAACAACAAATTAAATATATTGAAAACAATTTTTCCTAATAGATTATATTGAGGTTTATTTATGAGGCAACAATTAGATAGTGTTTTAGTATATCATTGTCATATATCAGTGTGGAAGATGGACTTGGAGCAACTGGATTTAGACAATTAAAATTTAAAAATTATACAAATTAACTTTATATTTACTAATACAAAATATCAAATTCTTATATTACTTTACATATTTTCCAAACAGGTTTACTACATTCTACTGAGATTTTGTATTTCTTTATAAATATAATTCATTTTTCATGGAGGATTTTTGTTTTAATGAAAATAAGAGATGTGGACTTCCAATTTATTCTGCAGTTTTCATCAGTACCAATACACAAAAGTGCAATAAAAATATATTTGCTATGATTAAATTTAGATATTTGACATATTCTGGTAATACGTACCTGTCAAAAGTTTTCTTCTAATTTTAACACCTTGAGATGCTTGAATTGTGCCCAACTAGATGGTATAGCTCCAAATAAGTTGTTGTCTTGAAGAGCCAAATATTGTAAATTTGGAAGTCCATTGCATATATTAGAAGGAATGCCTCTTGACAAATTATTCCCACTTAAATCAATCTCTTGCAACTCAGATATATTGAAGATTGTTGACGGTATTTGACCAGAAAACTGATTGAGGTCTAAATATAGATTTGTCAAGCTTTTAAGATTACCAATCTCTTTGGGAATATCTCCTACAATGTGATATAGAAAAGACCAATTAAATTTATTATCATTGTTGAAAAACTTGTTCCTCCTCAATTTAAAATTTTGAAGTAAATTTAGAGAAGCAATGAACTAGTGGAGTTAATTTCACTAAAGTGACAGATGACTTTGAATCAAATAAAAAATAAGGGGAACAACCAAGCTATAATTGGAGTAAATCATAAAATGAGCATGACAACCAATAAAAGACCAAAATTTATTGTGATGAATCAAAATATAGCTTTCAAAATTGCAAATAAAAGGAGAAAAGATTATAACGCTCTTGGACCCTAATAGAGTTGCAAATTTATTTCCTTTTGGTATGTACTATCATTTCAAATAAAATTATAGTATAACAATTTCTGGTTTGTGCAATGACGGCAATTAGTGGCTATTAGGGTGAAATAACTGTATGAGCACAAGAAATTATATGTTAAAATATGTCACTTGTATTTTTAAACTTCGGTTAGTATTGACAACTAAAATAGGCATTCATAATTCAATTAAGATGGAAGGAATTTTTCAAGATCATACATATTTAATGGACCATTTTTTCTTGGCAAGAAATATATCCCACAGCATATATAATATCACAAGATGGATTAAAGTTCAGCAAATTTTAATATAAAAATTGGAACATAGTCTTGTCATGTTTTTTTCAACAATTCGCTAGATAGACGCATGAAGAAAAAAATAATATAACCAGATAGATGGCCAATTCAAAAATAAAATATTACAATTCATTCTTAAAATAATTAAATCTAAATAAAAAAATAAGTATGGCTTTTTTGGCTTTTATATATTCTCTTTTATTCTTTAATTTTTAATAAATATTTTGTTGAGCTTCGCATAACTCAAACAAATATTTTATATTATACGCACAGTGATGGTTAACACAGGTTCCTCACATTTATTTTACTTTTTAAAATTTCTTTGGATATGTTTACAATATTGCACTTCAACATGCATGTAGACAAATATTGCCTATGAATGACAAAAATATCTGCAAGTTAGTTTAGGAATGCATCTTGCAATATAACAACAAAACAAAAATTACAAAAACTTTTTTTTTGTAAGAAAAAAAGTACGAACATTGTTATATATTTTCTTATGCTAACATATTTTATTAAATAAAAAAATGAAGAGCACTTATATCATTTACTGAAAGAGTACTTTGTAACTTAGAAGAAAGATCCAAACCTTCAAGCCTAGTCAAGTTTCTAATACATATTGCAAATGAGTTTTGAAGCATAAAGAAGTATTCAGATTCTCTAATTTTATTTTGGTTGTGCTAAGTTATTTGTATTTGTATTTGAATTAGTCAAGTTTCCAATACTTAGTAATGTTACAAACGAATTCTTACATAATATACGATGTGGTTAATTATTTAGCATCTAAGAAAAAAAAAATTGAAGTCTCTTTATCTTTCCTACAATTTGCCCTACACCTCAAATATAATCAAATCTTGGCATTGTGCATTGTGGAACATGCTTACCTCTGTTTTTTAGCCTAAAAAACAGCTATGTTGATTCTGGTTTATACGGACTACAGTTTTCTATTTTCCAATTTATTAATTCTGTTTACAGTTTAAGGGAAATGGCTGATATGGAGATTTTATATGTTAATATTGATGTATATATTAACATGGTCGCATAAGTGATTGTGTTTTCCAACAGACAAAAGGAGAACAAAAAGCAATAAAATGATCGATAGTACCAAACTATCATTTACTAACAGTATATCAAGTTTCCAATGCATCTTTATGTTGCCAAACAATTAATTAAAACCCAAAAATAAAGTCATATTAAAAGTGAAAATGAATAAAGCATAATATACTGAACAAACGATATCAGACCAAATCTTTCTTGATACAAAGGAACAGATTTTGTAACTTTTAAATTTCATGAAACGTGTTAAAAGGATGCAATATAACTTTATTAGATGACCGACAATATTAAAAAAAAAAAAAAACCTAGACCACTGACTTTTGGAATGTATCCCATGAGAAGATAGTGTTATAAGTGAAGTAGTTAACTAGCACATCCAAAATCATTTTACATGTGCCTCAATTTAATTTGCAAAAACTAAAAACCCCTTTCATAAATTCAACAGAAAAAATTAAATATTATATTGTAAAATAACAAAAAATGCGGTTCAATATAAATTAAATATTTTGAATCATAACACAATTCACAAGCCAAATACATCATATTAGCTTTTTATACTTTTGGATAAATTTTGTTAAAAAATATAATATGTCATTTAAATTTCACTTATATTGAACTTTATCACTATACTCAATGTTGTTGAACAATTTTTCAGGAAAATATCACATCCAAAAGACTAACTATAGAAGATTTAAAGACATTTTTTAATTTCTTTCTAAAATAAAAATTCTTAATAAGTACATATATCTTTTAAGATATACCTATTGCAACAATGTATAAAAAGAAAAAAGCTATTTTAGAGTGCAATTGAACTAAGAAAATCAATGATACTTTTATTAACAATTTACGTTTTTTATATGAAACGTTGTCTCACATCTAGAATCCTAACAATAGTGATGTATCAAAACCATTAATTATAGAGGAATTTATATTGACCAATTAATGGAAGTTAAAATTGGAAGCAAAGCCAAATATTATAGTTATATCATGGTAGGTAGCATAGAGTGGTGATATAATCCAATAGAAAATGTGAAATATATCGTCCATGCTGCTGTAGAACTTTTGCAGTGTTGCATATTATATATTGTTCATTTTATCTGACATTAGAAATAAAGTATTTCGGCAAGCCTAATCTCTAGTTCAAACCAATGTTTGCAAAATTAGTTAAAAAGAATCATTCACATATAACAATAGAATTTCTAGAACACACACAAATTTATAAACAAAAGGAAAAACAGGAAGAGAAATGCACACAAATATATACTGAGAAAAGAACTAACGAGGGGAAAAAAAAAATAGTAGCTAGAACATCATAATTTGATGAAAATTACCTAGTATATTGCCTGGAAAAAAATTAACGCTTAAAGATATAAAATTTAACTTTGTCCCATAGCAATTATATTGATAATATTTTCCACGTATTTGATTAAGATATAAGAAAAATTGTTTAATGTTTCAAGTGTTTATGTATGGTAATATTTTAAAATAATCTAACTTTTAAAATTTACAAGAAACGTTTCGGGTTCATCCTTTTTCTATAAACTTGTTAATGAACCACTTGGAGACCCTTACTTCTAGTGGCGGGGACATATATTTATATGATATAGCTCCTGAATGAACTTTCCCAAGAATAACACAAATATGATAAAAAGTTACACGGCATGATTAGTTGAAAGTGTACCTTCAATGTTATATTCACCAAGGTCTAGCTCTTGAAGTTTTGTCAAGTTTCCAAAATTCCTTGGTATTTGGCCAGACAACTTGTTAGATAAGAATTGTATAATTTTCAAGTTTGTGAGCTCACCAATTGTTTGAGGAATATTTCCTGCAATATGATAATAAAAAGACCACATTATTATGAATTCTCAAGTATAAAATTATGATAAAAGAAAAAATACTTATGAAAATAATTTTATGAATGCATTTTCTTAAAGTTATTGTGATTGTGATATAATAACTATTGAATTTGTATTTAAAAGAAACCGGGGTCTAGGAAAATAATAATAACTAATTTCAGCTCTATTGTTAATTATAAAAAAGTTATAGGAGAGAAAAATACATTATCATAAATATAAAAAATTTGAAATTGTCCTTATTATATATTATGGTTCATAAATGATTAGATAAATACAAAAAGGGTGCATTTTTGTGTACTTCCATTGTTCGTGCAAAGGCAAGGGAGGGAAATTGATATAGGTTAGGAATGGAATTAATGGTCTTTAACAAGGGTAAAAAGTAATTTTAAATAGCTAAGATGCACCTTTTAATAAATAAAAAAGAATTTTAGAATCTTTGATAAAGTATTTTTAAAAAGAGTAAAAAATTCAATTTAAGTGTATACTTCTGGAAATTATGTGATAGTTTATGAAATATTAATAAAATTAAATATAAATGAATATATTTCACTATAAAAATGAATCATAAATAATATGAGAAGGTTCTAACAATATTATCAAAACTCACAACTATTGATTCAATAACTCTATTATGTGATGATGTGACGATGTGGAGAACGAAAAGGGAGTTGCTCATAAGAACAAAAACAAACAACCAATAATCTATTGGTTCAAAGTCTCAATATAATTTATACATAATTTATCAAACTATCATAACATATCTACAATGTTTAGGTTTGTTAGATCACCAATTTTATTACAAATATTTCTTGTAATTTAGCAACAGATAAAATAAACATAATAACACTATGATTTGTTAGATACATACCTTCCAAGTTATTGGCAATAAGACGTAACAATTGAAGCTCAGTCAAGTTTCCAATACTTCTTGGTAAATGACCTGAAAGAACATATTGATACTTGTTGACATAAGGGACACTTTAGTAAAACACCAATTGTCTTATTTGTATTGAGAAATCACACATTAGTTGGGCATAAGGTATTTCCAACATTTTCACATAGTTTAAGAAAACATTCTTACATTGTTAACTTGTTAAAAATAATCATAAGTTTCCAATGTACAGTTTTTAATTAAAGGAATGGCTCTAGAACCAAAAAATAATTAAAAAGAAATAATCCTCATTGACCTTATAATATATATATATATATGGCTAATGAACTATCCATCTAATTAATTTGCCTCACCTTACATTTCACACACACACATATTCCACTAATGATTTCACATTGTTTGCAACTACGCTTAAGTATAATGATCAAAGATAATGATTTCACATTGTCTAAATACGTAGCTGAGGGATCTAAAGTATAATGATCAAGATAGTAAAGATGAAATGTAAATAATGGTTTCCATATTGCTCTCAAGAGCACCAAAACTCCAAAAGGCAGAAAGCAAGGCAAAGAAAACCATGGGCACCGATGTGAATGGGTTCATATTTTTTAAATTTAGAAGATCACCCATTTCCTTAGAATTAAGCCTCTGGATATGATTAAAAGACCCAAGTGTAAAAGGACAAAAAGGAAAAACAAATGTTTCTAATAAGGTGCTGATAAAGTTTATTTAAAAAGCTAGAAGATATTAACATCTAAGACCATTATTTCCATACTTGTAAGATTGCAAATTATTTCAGCAATATCTCTTGTGATGTACATGACAATATAAAAAGCACATCGTTAAGAGCGGTGATGCATTGTAAAGCATGCAGATGCATGCAATTCACGCAATTGGCATCCTACATGGAAAGTGAGAGATGTTTTGGGTGGGATGGACTGATTAAGGTTGTTGCACATGGTCACTTTCTGTTTTACTATATTATTCCAATTCCCTATGCACTTTATCCATATTTTATATTACCATTGCAAATTTCCCCTCAATTTAAGTTTTTGGATTTGATTGAATCAAAATATAATCTTTTAATGTCAAAATAAAAAAATATATGCTCATATATACCTTTCAAGTCACTGAAATCATAATTATGCCTAAAGCAATACTAAAAACTGAGAGAAATTTTATTGACACAGCTGCACTGCACTAGTATTCTTATATTTTTTTTTTCCAAAAAAAGTTTGCCAAACATGTAAAAACCTTCTTGAATCATGTTCGAACACATCAGTTAATCGAATCAGTCATAGTGAAAGCATTTTATTAGTAAGTTTGAAATTGCTATATTGTCCTTTTAGTTAATAAAAAAAGTATTTTTAGAATCTTTATTTTCATCAGAATTAAAATTTAATTAAAGTCTATATTTTGAAAATATGGGGTGGTTTCAGGAATATTAATGAAATTAAAGGTTAATGAATATATTTTGCTCTAAAAATGAATCATAAATAATATGAAAATTTCTAACAATATATATCAAAACTCACAAAACAATTGGAATAAAATGTTACATATATAAATAAGGGGAAATTAATTATTTAGTCCTATAGATTCATAGAGTTTGTAACTCAATCTCTATACTTGAATTCAATGCAAGTTGATCCATATACTTATTTTATCAATCTATATACTAAACAATTTTAATATTTTTATTAATATTTTTAATTACTGTGAGTGCCACGTTGGACAAGTTACAAGGGACACAATTATTTTCCAACAAAATCAATGTTGAATAATATATTGTAATAACTTATCTGAAGGCACACTAACACCTATAAAATTGTTTGCAATGATTAGGATAAAGTATGAAATTATCCGATAAAATCAAAGATATACCTATGAAAGAGTTGCATGATAGTGACATATGCTCGAGTGAAGATAAGCCAAAAATAGTTGAAGGTATTTTTCTTGAAAGGTGAAGAAAATAATTAAGTATGAAAGCGAAAAAAATAAGAGTAGCCAATGAAAAGGTGAAGACAAAAGTTAAGTATTAAAAGAAATAAAGAATACGCGTGAAAAGTGGTTAACATAAGACACGTCCTTACGTCATCATGACTTAAAACAACAATAATTAATGGGTTTTTTTTAGATAATCATTTATATGTAAAAGAAAATTTTCACCCACATAATATGCATACTTGGAACCTAAGTATTAGCAGCATACAAGTGCCAAGTACATGTTTAGTCTCTAAAACGTCGGCTTGTACAAGTATATGACAATTACTAAAAATGTCAGGTATTTGCACCATTAAAAAATATAAGGCATTTTTGCTAAGGTATTTTTAATTTTTCAATGTATAATTAATGAGTATTTTCAAAAATACCCTTAATAAACTACTCAACTGAAACCTTTAAGTGAGATTCCCTAACTAAATAAGAACAAATATGAAAAGATAACATTAGCTTAAAGATGTAACTAACTTATTGAGACTGTAACTTTTTAAAAAATATCAAATGGGAGTGGTATTAATAAAGTAAGATATTTGGAGAGTTATAATCAAGTCCCAAATGAGAACACATTAATAATAAAACCCTAATGACAAAACAAATTGAGTAAATATCGAGATAGTAACTGTTTGAATAGTTTTACGTAGTTTTAACGTAACTATAGATAGGGATTCTATGAAACATGTGACGTGAAAACATTTTCCATCTAGCTAAAAGAGAATTGCAAAGAACATTCGATTATTTTATCTTACTCAAATTAAAACATATATTATCACCAATATATCATTGAAAAATGACAGTGGTCAAAGAATTATCAAACTTAATTTTCTTAGGGCAGGCTAATTTGAATAAGGAAGTATACTTTTGGAAAGTTGTTTTCATGCAATGCATAAAACGTGCTAACTATGATAATTCGATTTCACGTGCCATATAGGAAGACATGAAGTTAGAAATGCAAATCTTCACATAATCAATAACAATATTGTACGCTCACCTTTGTTTTTAAGCCCGAAAAAAAAATATATTGATGGAAAATATATCATGCAGATGCAATTGAGGCAGGCGCCACATGACCCATAATAACACAAAATATAATAACTCTTGGATTTTGATTAAAAGAAAATGGAAAAATAATAATGCTCTTAGGCAAACTAAAATCATGAATTCACACATAATAACTAGCTAGTAGAGTTATCAGCATTGTTCCAGTCATTCATCTCGGGAAGCTTCTGTACAATTTTATGTCAGAGCACCAAGAAAGGAGAATTGGTGTTGCACTTGAGGGTCACTAGCTAAAATCCACCTGTCATGAAAGCTGGAACCTGTTTTTTTATGAAGTTGAATATCAAGTTTATTCTCATCGATCACTTGTCTTAAAATAGTAGAACGCAAGTTACTCGTTCGAGTTTGGAAGTAGACACCATGTTAATTCAAATAAGTAGAATAGTAATTCGGGGATGAATATCATTACTTGTCATTAGTCATCGGCTTAATTCACTTCACCTCCCTCATAGTTTTCTATTAGCAAGTTGAGCACCGAGTCAAACTGGAGGGGGTGTTGGAAGATTGAATTAATTTGGTGATTAATTCGTTTTAATTACTTAGATATTGTTGATGACCCTAAAATCTATACAAAGGGTAAGTATATTTTAGAGGTAGGGTGGAATACTTGCCCAGGTTCAAAATTTCGTAATATAAAAACACCAAAAATATTATTTAATTACGTTATTTAATTCCTAAATTTGACATAAACACAAGAAAAGTCATGGTTTTCTAATAGATTGGGTCATCCAATTCCACCGGTTGTATTAGGAACTAGCTCTTGTTTAGTCCTCTACAATTTTCAAAACTGAACACTTAGATACAGGGACGTGTTGAAGGGGTTTTGTGGCCTAACACAAAAATTATTTTAGAAGCCTAATGCATTATTATTTTACCACTTTAAATCCTATAAAAAATTAAAGCCACAACAGAATGCTATCTCGCTGACTCAACTTGTCCTTTTGAATGTACTAGTGTCTTAGTCACACTTTCCTAACAATCACAATTTTAAGTAAAAGGTAAAA